AAATGACTCTCAATAGAGATTTATATATAGGAAGGCAGGGTGAGAGTGTGCATATTCTATGGACTATTTCAAAAGACTTTTGCAAATGTTTTTGCAGGAACATTTATTTATTTACATATCCACATGCACCTGTCCCAAAGGAAAAAAAAATTAAGTATGTATGTATGCATGTACTTATAAATAAGACTCATATGGCCACCCATCTTGTAAAACACAACTCTGGGCAGCTCACAGCAACAACAGAATAAAAGACAATAAAACCAAGAAAGCCAGGTACGTGACCCACCATCTCCAATCCATCAAACCATACAATCTTCAGGCTCCAACCTCACCCTATCCCAGCACCTGGAAGACTCATAATACAAGAACTCGCCTTCATTAGAAATGCTTAAAAGAATGAGTGGCCATCTGTTTGGGATGTTATATGACAGGTTAGGCAATCTGACCATGAGAAGCATATTTGGCCCCCAGCAACTTATTAGCAGTCTCCCAGCACTCTGAGATTACACCACTAACATTCAGTAGCAACATTACTGACTGTCAGTGGTATGGGTTTTCATTTTTCCTACCCCAAATAAGGGTCAAAATGGAAGTGCTTTGCTGAAAAGGTTGCCTACCCCTACTATAAGGAAGAGTCTTCTTCCATCACCAAGAAGCTTTTAAATGTTATCAAATCTATCTATCTGTCTGTCCGTCCGTCCTTCTGTCATCATCTACTTACCTACCTAATTTTAAAAGTCCCTCAGATTTCTTGCACTGTTGCAGTCAAGTACTAATCTGTAGCTCCTGTATAGCTTCTATACAGTGTTCAGCCTGAATCTTCAGGGCCACATACTGCTTCTCTGACCAATGTGCCCCCCCTGTGTGCTAAAGGCTGGACCTACAGGTAGGCCTTGTATTTGCAAATGTTTCAAAGCCACTGTTATAGAGAACAGAGAAGTAATGCTGCTGACATCTGAAATTTCAAGAACTTAGACTGTGATTCTGCTAGGTCAACAAATGCAAAGATTAGCACCAAATAAGGAGAATATTTTTTACCTAAACTGCACCTTCCTACAACTCATCCAGTTTGCAATTACATACCTCATTCTCCTTTCATTAGTCTTTAATTGATCTTCAGATCACAACATCCTCAGCAACAGCTTTCTGAAATGAAACGCTAAGTACGATGCAATACTGCACAAGGCAGGCAGGAAAAAAGAGCAAAGGGATATTGATGGATTCAGATGCCACAGGGAACACCCCTTTTTAACAAAACCAACGATGGACAAATAAAAATAGGCAAGACAATAGATTTATTTTTATTCTGTGTAATTTTTGCAGGAAAGCAAAGAATAGCAATCCAGGAAGGAGGATTCATAATATTAGAGCAATTAATATGAGCCATCCTTTCTTGCAAGATTATAACTGCATGACGTGGGGAGAATAAAATTTCCCCCTTTTTCACCTAATCAGCTGGAGGTGGAACAGGGGAGCCAGTTTTATACATTCAACACAATGCCTCCCAGCACATCTTAGAACTCTGTAATAAGGCCATTAAGTTAACAGAATGACACCCTAAAATACAGGTAACGTCGGGTTATGTCCACGTTTCAGCGTCTATTCAAAGTTACAATGTCATTGAAAAAATGGACTTACAAGCAGTCCTTGCACTTATGAACATCACAGCCCATGGTCATGTAATCCAAATTTGGGCACTTGGCTACCAGCCTGCATTTATGACTGTTGCAGCATCCCCGCAGTCACGGGAGAGTGGTTAGATCCTGGAGCTGGTACTGTTTGCACATCCAGGCCAACGTTAGGCCCTTCCTGCCCTGGCTAGCTGGGGGAGTGGGGGAGAGAGCAGCCGAGAAATGGTTCTTTTCCTGGCCTGTGCCTGCCAATTACCCCAAGGACAGCCCTGTGGGTTAGACTCTTTCCACGCATTCTGTTAAAAGGATTTCTAGGCTGCTGGGGGCAGTGGCAGCGGAATACAGTGGCCTCTTCGTCTCTGCCATGCTGTGCAGGGTGGCCAAAAGGGCAGAGGTGTGGGGGAGATAGGCGAGTGGGGGGAGTTGAAGCGGAGGCAGTTTGCACAGGTCAGGAGAAGTGTGAGGTCCTCCCTTAATGAGCACAACTGGGACTGCCGTGACTGCTGTCACTAAGTGGCACAGTCACATGATGTTTTGCTTAACAACCACTTTGTGGAAATGCTGGTCCAAATTAAGGTTGTAACCTGAGGGCTACCTGTAGATAGAGATGGTGTCAGATCTTGGGAGGCTCCACTTACCACACCTAATGCTGAATTAGAGAAGGGCACTGCTGGGGATTCTTCACCATTAGCCATGCTGGCTGGGGTTCGTGCATAGTTCTGCAACAATTGGAGGATCAGAAGGCCTACACAAACGGTCAGCAGTTCAGGACTTTTCCCTAATTAGTCACAAGATCAGTCAGAACGAAGAACTAATTATGCCTTCTGCTGCAAAAACACTTCAGTGACAACATAAAAGCTAATCAATTAATAAACTTTTGTGGATGACAAAGCAGGGGGAAATAAAATAGAGATGATGCAGAAAATGAACATTATCTGTGGATACCAGCCATTCCAACTTTGCTCCTGTGGTGAGGAGTTCCTGAAACACTAACCCACATTCTTTTATATTGCTTGTATTACAAAGATGTAGAATTGTAGTTAATAATAACCCATCTACTTAGATTTTCAGGCCAGTTGGGTTCATTTTATTTACATTTTCTATATTTATTTACATTACTATTATCTGATCAATGTGATCTCATTTTTCTCAATGTGACTAAGATTTGTTTTTCTGTTTGTAAAATATATCACACCTTGAGCACACTAGTTTTATAATTATAGGTTTTTACTGTGGTTTTTATTTGCTGTCTCAAACTTTTTTCCCTTTCTGTTTTTGAGCTGATCTATGACTGTGATAAAGTATCTTGTCTTGTCTCATGACACGGTTCATTTTAAAGCTGACAATTACAGCTCTTGGCTCTAAGCCAAAATGTGACAAGATGACCAAGGTTTATGTAATACTCCACAATCAATGAAAATATGTAAATCAACAATGCCAACAGACAATACATCACTACAGTGATGTAGTTTAGTCTCACTGTTATTCAGCAGTTTTAGGGAAAAAACAGGGTGACATATGGAATCACACATAGAAGTCGTGGGTATCTGTAGGGAAACAAGGGGATTATGTTCTAGCACTGAACCTGTGAATTTAGCTTTTGCCTGGTATATATGATTGTAAAGAGAATACATGGAAGCACTCATAAATGGGCCCTGTGAATATAATCTTCAATGTGAGCCCCAGTGTTCCATCTCCAACGTTCTAACAAATGGCCCTGGACTAATGAGATAAGATCTCTGAAGTGATTCACACCCATGAATGGGTGTTATTTGCAGTTACTGGAGGTAACAGTTCTGGAGAATGATCTAGCAGAAAGAGAGGGTGACTCCAAAGCATGCAGCTTCTAGAGTGATTTAAAGAAAAAAGTCTAAATATGACATTCCTGTATCTCATGTGTTCTGAGAAAATAGAAGTGACATAAGATATTGAGCAGCACAGACAATTCTGGAGATATATGCATCCTGTCCCCTATCAATATGAGATATGTATTTGATTGAAAAACAGCGAAACCCCTCTTCTAGAAAGATCTTATGGAGTGTAGGGGAGTCAACTTTTCTCGAAGGTCTCATCCTGTTCCATTTTAATAATCCATTACAAGATTAAAATCTTGAAGCTAGAACATTCTTATAAACCTGCTTGATTTTAACCATCTGGGTAAACGGTTTTAACTGAAAATTGTCCTAAAGCTTAAATTTGTTATCCTCTGACTTGGTTCAAGTTTTAGGGTGCCCTTTGATATTTCTATGGTGCTGGCTTTCAAAAATTCCATATATAATTGCTTGTCATTTCTGAACATTTTAGGTCTGTCCAAAATCATAGCATGTTGAATAATCAGTAAAATCTCCTATATGAATATATCATATTATATTTCTTCCTGATGAGGTAAAGAGATATATACATTCATAGTATGTTGTATATACATTCACATTATGTTTCAAAAATCTAAAAAACTTGTTTGAACAAATATGTCAGCAGTAAGACTCTCAAACCACTTCTAATTTTCTTTAAAAAATATTGTCATAACCTTAATACTATCCTCAGATGGAATAATAGTAGGTGATTACCAATGCCAAACATGCCACTTTGCTAAATTATCATCTCTATACTCTAGAGAAAATATTTTAACTGGGTAGATCCA